GGGAAGGGGAAGGGGAAGGGGAAGGGGAAGGGGAAGGGGAAGGGAAGGAAGCTTTAAGAATACAAATTACTTAACCTATGCTGGGCCTGGTGGTGCTCACCTATGATCTTAATGCTAAGGGAGGCTTGAGACAGAAGGGTCACCATGAGTTCAAGACCAGTCTGAACTATATAATGAGACCCTAACTCAAAAAACAAAAATATATTACTTAAATGAATATATCGAAAAACATTTTAACATGTAATCACTATAAAAAACTTACTGGGGGATAGAGGTATAGTTTAGTGATAGAATACCTAATATGCACAAGGCCCCATGCTTAATCCCTAGCACAGGAAATAAAGGGGGAGTGTTTTATATATATATATATTTTTTTGGTACTAAGTATCTGAAATACAAAGTTTATTTTACACTTACAGCATTTCTCACTATGGCCTCAAACTCTACCCCTTTTAAGTTTTTTTGTTTAATGTTGAGACAGGGTCTTGCTAAGTCACTAAACTGCCCAGGCTGGGCCTGAACTTGCCATCACTCTGCCACAGCATCACAAAGTTCCCAGATTACAGGTGTGCACTATCACGCCTAACTAGAAAGCTCAATTTCAAAATGCACCGTGCTTCCCCAGCTCCAGTATTCTGGTCCCGCCTTATGGTGATCACACCTTTTGGTTTTTTTCTTTGGATTCTAGGGATTGAACCTAAGACTTCACACATTTAACATACACTCTCTCACTAAGCTACAACTATTAGTGCCTTGCCTACAACTATTTTCTTCTTTCCTCTTTCCTGTCTCATTAAAACTCTACTTCCTGTCCCAGGTTCTCTGCTTCCTACCTCAGACTTCCTTAAACTGAGGTCATTTGAATAGGCATAAGCAAAAGGCCTGAGCTCACTGGGCACTGCCATGTAAGCTGAAGTGTCTGGAGATAGTTCACCACTACGCCAGATGATCGACTCTCCAACATGCTCACCTGGATACATCCCTCTACCATAACTGTTTTCAAATCATAAGAGAAAGTCACAAACATGGAAGATTGACACAAAGCACTGTGAAAGGCTGCAGAACACCACCCTGGCACTGCTTGCTGCAGAGCCCTTGAGAAACTCACCAGCAGGAGCTATGGAAGGGGGTCTGCCTCGTTTCCTTTTTGGCTCCCTCAAGTTTTCTTGTGGACTCTTCACAATGTCATTTTCAGGTTTCTTGTCCACTTGGGTGTCTCCAGAGTACTCCCTGTCATTCTCTGAAATGTTCTCCTTATCTTCCTTCTCGTTCTTGGGAAGGTTTTTCTCAGACACCTTTCCTTTTTCAGAACAGATTAACTTTCCTTCTTTGTCAGGCTGCTTGGGTCGCTTTTCTGTCTTTAAGGCTTTATCCTCTTTGTCTTTCTTCACATTGACTGTGGCTTTTCTCTGCTCTTTAAACTTCTCTCGTTTATCAGGAGATGATGAAAGACTTTTGTGATCTGTTTCTTTAGGCCTAGCATTACCCACAATATTCTAAAATGAGCAAAATAGCGATGAAACAAACTTGTGATTACTTGCAGATACAAAATTAGGAGGCACTTTGCAAATTTATGGAAATAAGCAAAGAAAGTAAAAGGACACATGCCAGGTCACATAATGGAAAACACCACGGCAAATATCCTCCTGTACTCTGAGGTTTGAGAACCAATCCTAAACTGAAAGAAAACAACTGCCATGTTCAATTCCTTCTGAGACAGTCCAATCCCTCTTATGACAATGAGCAAACTGAGCAAATCATTAGAGAATAGTTAACAAGGACAGACAACTACCCAAGATCCTTTTCTGAAAGCAGTCTTTCTGACAGAGATGTTCTATGAAAATGTACTAATCCCCTGCACCTACCCTTAACTTTACTCTACTGACCAAGGCCTTTTTCAAAGACCTAACTCAGTTGTCCATTGAATGCTAATGTCCAGTTTTTGTGTAGAGAAAAATCTAAACTGCTAAATGGAGGTTGAACAGGAAAACGACTAAGACTGCCTATCCCACCTGTAATCACAGCACTCAGGAGGCTGATATAGTTGGATCTCAAGTTCAAGGTCAGCTTGGATTACACAGCAAGACCCTGTCTCAAAAAAAAAAAAAAAAAAAAAAAAATCGCCGAACCAGGAACCACAGGTACAAGCTGGTCTCAGCACAAGTTCCTGAAGTACTCTTGAGTTCTCTTCACTGAAAGGAAGAACTGTTTGTTGATTACTATGTTCCTAAATTATTTTAAAATACATCCTAAGAATCGTGTATGCTGGTACGACTATCTCATAAAAAGCCAGCTTTAAAAGCTCTGGAATTTCTAAAACTATAATGAAGTTTATTTCTGTAAGGAAGTACCCCTCTTCAAAGACCTAAGACAAAGCAGAGACCATGTTCACGTGGGATCCCCAGCAGAGAGCATACACCAAGCACACAGATTGTTACTGGAAGCAGAAAGGAGTACCTAAATACTTACTAAGCAAATGAAAGCTTAATTTGTCCCATAAGGAAAAATAGTAAGCAAGAAAACATTTTGTGAAGTCACAAAAACTATTTAAAAAAAACAAAAAGACATTCTCAGGAGCTATTGGCAGAAACACAAACTGTAGCTGGGTGTGGCAGCACACACTTACAATCCCAGCACTCTGGGAACATAAGGTAGAAGGAAGGAACATTCGAGCCCAGCCTGGACAATTTAGCGGGACTCTATCTCAAAACAAGAAGGGTGGCGGGGCTGGGGATATAGCTCAGTGGCATAAGTGCCTGCCTGGCAAACACAAGGTCATGAGTTAGATCCCTGGTACCGCAAAAAAAAAGAGAAGGGTGGGGGTACTTGGGATATAGTTCAGTGAGAAGGCCCCAAGCTCAATCTCCAGTACTACCAATCAATCAATCAATTAATCTTGCAATTTCCTTTCAAAAGGCAGTGTACTGGCAATTCAGGTCAAAATACTTAAAAAGTTTTATACTTTTGCCTGTAATTCCAACACTCAGGAATCAGAGGCAGGAGGATCGCTGAGAGTTCAAGGCCAACCTTGGCTATATAGTAGGTTCAAGGCCAGCCTGGACTACATAGTGAGACCTTGTCTCCCCCTCAAAAAAGTTTATAGCTTTGAACTAGAATTCTTAGAAACAGAATTTGTTAAGAGAATGACCAGACTATTCCTCTATACTTACAAATATCCCTAATGACTATTCAAGACTGGCTACACAAAGGGTAATTACATACATATTACAGTACACTACATAATTATTAAAGGTCATATTCTGGGAGTACTAAGAAGTTAGGAAAATATCATTTTGTTAAGAGAAAAAAATTACAGAACAGTAATATACCACATGACTCCAACTTTGAAAAGAAACAAGTATATACACCCACACAAATGTTTACAACAAAAAAATACAGCAAGATATTCACCAAAATATTAAGTGCAATTACACCAGATAACAGGACTATATACTTCTTATTTTCTTTATTTTTTTTTAGTGCTTTTCAGTTTCCTACAGCAAACGCAGTGCTTTTTTAAGTTCATAAAATAATTGTTATGGAAGTATGGATTATCAAAACATTTAGGACAAAGTGATTCTACAGAAAAAATTTCAATCTATTCTGATTCTCACTCTGTGTGTGTGTGTGTGTGTGTGTGTGTGTGAACTTTAAAACTGTCCATGAAAGCGATCTTTAGTCAAACCACTACCTACTCTCTTGAAAAAACAAGTCTAAGCCAGGCATGGTGGTGAATCTCTATAGGCCAAGCACTATAGGAGGTTGAGGCAGGAGGGTCACAAGTTGGTGCCAGCCAAGGCAATTAATGAGACCCTGTCTCAGAAAATAAAAAAGGATTAGCTCGGTGTGAAGGCTCTGGGTTCAGTCCCAACCAATTAAAAAAAGTCCAACTGGGGCTGGGGATTTAGCTCAGCGGCAAAAGCGCCTGCCTGGCAAGCGCAAGGTCGTGAGTTCAGTTCCCAGTACCGGAGAAAAACCAAAAAAAAAAGTCCAACTGACCCTGGTCTGTGCTTCACACCTGCCAAGAATGAGGTAAGTTAAGACACAGTCACTGGGAATTACCTGGTAATGTACCCACTCCTAGCTAAAGTACCATAAGTGCTATCAATCAATTTACTGACTTTTCTTTCTCTGGAACTCTGGCTTTCCATATAGAGAGTTTTGGATCCAATCTGCCAGTTCTAGACAAATCTGATTCATTCCATAAATGTAACACAAAAATGTCAAAATTTAAGACTAAAATAACCTTGTGCAGAGTGTCTCCCTATATGCCTGAGAGACAAATAAAAAGGAAGTATAATCAGGGCTAAAACTTTGTAATTTTGTAAATTTTCTGAAGAGGAAAACCAGCAAAGGGTAAGAACATTCTTGAGTCTACCTTTAAAGGTATATCTCAATTTTCAATGTATGTACAGAAGAATTTATGTAAATCTGCGATGAGCAGAAGAAGCATTTGATCATCTCAGGGTAAGACATAACAAGTTACAAAAGCACCAGATACTGTCCCCATCAACCACCATCCAAAGGCAAGTCTGAGTTATGACATCTCAGTAATAAAACCATTATTTTATTTCATTTCATTTTTTGTTTTTTTCAGACAGGGTCTCACTCTGTAGTTCAGGCTGGCCTTGAACTCTTGGTGATCCTCCTGCCTCAGTCTTTTGAGTGCTGGGATTGCAGGCATGTTCCCCCACAGCTGTGGACAAAACCTTTTAACTTGCTTTAATAAAACCTTATTAATTTGTGGGTTTTTTTTTTTTAACCTCTTATTAATTTGTCTCAACATCTAAAACTAACAGAGTTTTTAAAACATTAACATCCAAATTTTGGTATTCTACATGATCAGAGAAACTTCTCTAGTAACATACTATAGAAATGATCCCTGAAAGTATAGCCTTTAATATTCAAATTTTGATCTCCACTTTCTCTTTAACTATTTCATTAAAAATGAATAAGAAAAAGACTAAAGGAGAAAAAGTCATGAGGAAAATATGTAACACTTGTAGAGGACTCATATCTGCATGGACAGTGCTTTGAGTATCAAAACTCAGGCCCTACACTCGGGCAAGTACTTGAGTGCAAGGTGAACAGGCCATAAAGCCACACGAGACTCTCAAACCAGCCATGTCTAGCATATGTGGGTGCCAAATCCATGGCAAAGTAGGTCTGCAACCACTAAGTCATGGTCATGAGGAGAAAATGTGCTGTAAGTCTTCTCCACTGTTTCAACAAATTCCCTGTGATTAGTAACAGCTCTGGGGACAGGACCCAGGGGGAAAAAAGAAAGAATAGTAACCATACACTTTTGAGGAAAACTGATAAAACACAATGCTATCCTAGTACTCAGCATCTTTTTCTAAAGATTCTGTATTAAAAGGAAATGATGGGCCAGGGATATAGCTTAGTGGTGTAAGCGCCTGCCTGGCAAGCGCAAGGTCCTGAGTTTGATTCCTGGTACCAAAAAAAAATAGAAAATAAAACGAAATGATGAAAGGAGACAAATATTTATAACTTCTACAAACTTTTGTATTACTTCCTGGTGAAACTGTGTCATATGCTGGAAATAAAGACTTTCCATCATGAATGTAATGTCTTTCTTCAAGGCAAAAAAAAAAAAAAAATAAAGAGTACAATGTTAGCATTATTCATAACACAAAGCACAAAACCACATTTCTCACCTGATCTTTGGAAAAAGCTTTGACATGAATATGTTTGACAGTCTGAACTACTCCATCATAAAATTTCACAGTGTAAGTACCTAAAATTCAAGAAGATATCATGATTTTTAACTCATAGTTTCATGAAAGCAGCAACTTTTCAAAGTATAAAGACAAGGGAGATCTAACCACACAATAAATATACATGAGATAAAACAATTGTTTTAAGAAACATATTCAGGGTGGGGATGTAGCACAACAGTAGAGTACCTGCTCAGCACATGTGAGGTTTTAAGTCTGAAACCAGGCACCACTCCCCCTCAAAAAACCAAATCCGGTCATCTTATGCCCAAGGCAATGGTATGTTTGCCTTAATTTCTTAGTCAAGATGATAGTTTGCCTTTTATTTACGTAACTCAAAAATCCATCCAAAAAACTTTTTATGATGCATCATTAAAATAAAAATAATTTGCAAATTGAGGTCAAGATCAAAGCACAATATTGTTACAACAAGTAAGAATGTTAGGAAAAGTCGGGCATGGTGGCACATACCTATAATCCGAGCACTGGGAAGGCTGAAGCAGGACTGCTAAAAGTTCAAGGCCACCCTGAGCTGCACAGTGGAAGAGCAGCCTAGAGTACAAAGTAAGACCCTGTCTCAAAAATCAACAACAAAAAGCTGGGCATAGTGGTGCACACCTGTAATCCGAGTACTCAGGCGGCTAAGGCAGGAAGATCACCTTGAGTTTGAGGCCACCCTGGGCTACATGATCAGTTCAAGGCCAGTCTGAACTACATAGTGAGACCCTGTCTCCAAAAGAAAAAAAAAATGTGAGGAAATGCATGCTTATTTCTTTCTTCCTTGGTCAATCACTAACTTATTATATGTAATCTTTATTTTCAGAATTTGAGGGCAGTAGTATCTTTTTTTTGGAAAGTTTTATCAGAAATAAGGAAAGGAGGATAGCTCCTGGGGTGGCCGTTTTATTTTTCTTTCTTTTAGACAGGGTCTCACTAAATTGCTACATTGCCCAGGCTGAACTTGAGCTTATGATCCTCCTGCCGCAGGCTCTGTGGGTGCTGGGATTACAAAGTGTACCACTATACCTGGTGGGAGCAATAATACGGTTTTAAACTTTAAAAGGTCTCCGAAAGGTATCATTTGCTGACATTCCATTAACCTCAAAACTGATATAAATTATCTATATGTTATAATATTTTAAAATAGAGGCCACCAAAATACTAAATGTTGCCGTATTGTCAGTTGTTTCCCTACTAGAAGAAATTATTCAATAAGGGTCATTACACCCTACTCAAAAAAACTGAAGTTAGAATCCTCGATAATCTCCCCCCTTTTCTGATGCTGGAGATTTAACCCAGGGCCTCCCTCATGCTAAACCTGAGCTCTACCACTGTGCTACACCCACCCCCCAAATAATCTTATCTTCCCAAATAATCCTCCAACTACAAAAGATTTCATTGCACCCAAACCACAGCTTTCAAACGTTTGCATTTTAGAAATAATCTGTGCTCCTTTTTCTTTATTCTTTTTTTGTCCCAAGAATCTTTAAAAAAAGAATCACAATTAGACTTGTCACGATTACTGATGAACCACTGATAATCATGTAATGGTTTACCACTGGTAAACATAGTTCAATTCTCAAAACCAATTTTCCATCTAATAAAAACCCCTGAGAGATGGGAGCAGAAGGATATAACAAGGAAGTTAAGACCTCCTGGTTAACTATCTGCTATCTTGCTATCTATCTATCTGTCTGACAGGATCTCAGTAGGTAGCCCAGGTTGGCCTCGAACAAGCAGTGATCCTACTGCCCCAGATTCCCAAGTACTGGAAGCACAAGTATAAGCTACCACACCTGGCTCTTTTTCTTTCCGCTTTTTCTTTGTTTTTTTTTTTCTCTAGGGAGAGAGACATAAGGTCCCACTATGTTGCCCAAGCTAGCTCAGAATTCCTGGACTAAGAAAACCCCTCCTCACTCACACCCATCACCTCCACTCCAAAAAAAGAACTCCTGGGCTCAACGGTTCTTTGTGCTTCAATCTTCCAAGAAGCTCAGAGTACAAGCATATGCCACCATACCTGGCTTTTTTTTTTGTCCTTTTTGAGACAGGGTCTCACTATGCTGTCCTTGAGCTCACTTTGTTCAGGCTGGCCTTGAACTCACTTTGTAGCCCAGGCTGGTCTCAAACTCGCAACAATCCTACTGCCTCAGCCTCCCATGTACTGGATTACAGGCGTGTGCCACATCATCCAACTTCATACCTGGCTTTTACCCGCTTCTTATACACTCTCTTCCCACACCACCTCTCCTCCAGCCCTAAAAACAGGGCCTTGTCAATGGCGGGCCCCCTCTACTAAGTCTAAACACCTGTCTTTTCTAGTATTCAAAGTCCAACATATACTGAACCAAATTATTCTGTAAGCCTATTTCTCTTTACCAGCATCAAATACCAATTCTAAACAACTTGCTACTTGCTACCCTGTGAAACTGCCTATAACATTTCCATCTCCACTATTTTTTTTAAACCAGTGCTGGGGTCTGAACCCAGGACCTTGCACATGCCAGGAAAGCACTCCACCATCAAGCTTCATCCCCAACTCCATCTCTATATCCTTATCAAAGTGCTTTCTTGCCTAGAATATGCACTTGTTGATGGTCAACTCAAGTGACCACAACAGCTCAGTAAAAGGTTCCTGGCTACCTAGCTACTGGCACTTTCCTCCGCTCTTAACTTTTAAGACATGCATTTGGCACCTGGTCTTCAGAGCTTCCCAGTTAGTTCTACCTTCATATATATGGATCATAATTTAAAGAAAGGCTCTTCAAGGCCAGACACCAGATCTCACATCAGTTGCTTCCTCACATAGTACCCAGCTTACAGTAGACCAGTGCTTCTCAAAGTGTATCCAACAGCCTGAGCAATCCTGGGAACTTTTCAGAAATTCAAGTTACCAGCCCCACCTCAAATGCACCAGAAAGCCTGAGACTATGTGCTTAACAAGTACATAACATGTTTTAACAAGTCCTCCAGGTGATTATGATACACAAGCATGGCAAAATCTGAGAACCACAGCCACAGACAATTTGTAATTACCTACTGACCTTTTATTCCTGGGTATTAAAAAAAAGAGGCGCATTTATCACAAATGTTACCCATATAGAAAGAAACTGGCTGGCAAGCAGGATTTCAGGATATATACTTAGGCTTGGTGGAGTAAAACACCAGCAATGCAACAGCAGACTATGCTAAGGGAGGCCTAAAGATGAAAACGTAAGCCATTCTCACATAAGGTAGCTTAACAATGACTTTCAACAAAGATATGGGTTCCTGTCTTTTCCTGGCTATGCTGTGAGAGTGCTAGCAAGCAAGAGAGTAAATAAGCAAGCTAGAGCATTCTAAACAGACCCCTCTCAAGCAAAATCTGTCATTTTTACAGACACTTCCAACAATCTAAAGGACAATATTAAGTACCACCTGTGTGCAAAATTTTCAGCTAGTTGGAGTTAACTTTGAAGCTTACTCCTTTTGATGAAAGAACCCCAAGTTCCACAGTAAGTCTAAGACAGAGTTAGTATTACAACTCAAGCTTTCCTACTAACCTCTGACAGTTCTCCCATCATTTCACATTGCCTACTGTCCAAGCCACTCAGCTGAAGTTGAAGCCACAATATCAAATGCCACTCACACTGACCCAAACTATGGTCACTGGTGTTCAGGGGCCACTTTCCTTCGATATTAATATCCTGGTCCTCACCCTTTTTTATTCCAAAGGACAAGGTATCATCTTGAACTTCCTCCCCTAATCATGCAGAACACAACCTAATTTGAATACATCAGAAGAAAACAAGGTAACAATGGCCTAGGTCTACTTCTGGAGAGAATTCCAAAACCTTCTTTCATGGTTTCATGTTATCACTAAAAGAGTATCTTCCCGTGGGATTCTTCCATGGTGGCTGATAACAAAGCTCTCCTGTGGCCATAGACAACATCTAGCATGTAAGTAACATAAGTCAAAATAAGTGCGTCATTGGTTGGGGATGTCATTCAGTGGGAGATGCAAGGCCATGTGTTCAATCTCCATCACCAAAGAAAATTCTACATCCTGTTTTACCTCCTCTAATTTGCCTCCTTCAGAAAGCTTAAAAAAAAAAAAAAAGAAGCTTCTGTCCTTACTCATGCCAGGTGAAACAAAGCTTCCACACCTTGCCCCTCTAACTACTAGGAACTCAGCATATCAAACAATCTGAGAGTGGTCAGGAATAGCTACAGGGGGAGGAAAACAGAACTAGAGATATGTGGTAAGCTTAACTCCTCAAGGAAACAGGAATACACGGGTGCCTTTGGACTGGACAGATTTCTGTTGCTCTTGAACCTGCCACAGCTAGGACTCTAAGACCCCTTCTCTATCCCATTCATTCACCAAGATTCAGAGAATTCAAAAGCCATAGAGGAGAGGCTCAAATTCTTCATGCATGGGTTCCCAAAGGGCTGGGTTTCAGATGTGTCCCATGGGGTGATCAGAGGGATATACACATGACTGCAGCTCACTCTCGTCCCCCTTACATCTTTTCTTCTGAGCAATTTTATATATTGGGCTTATGACACTGTAGGGAAAGCAATTTAGGATGCCCTACAGACCTTCAGTGAGCTCTACCCATTTATGTGATTTGTCACTTGAAGCAGTTTCTCCTTGAGCTTAGTTTGTCATCTATAATAACCTTTCCACATTTCTATCAGGACTATGTCAAATAAGGCATAAAAATTACTTAGTAAAGCTGAGCTAAGTCCCCAGCACCAGCTCCCCTTTTCTTTTGGTTTTTTTCCAGTTCCAGGAATCAAACTCACGACCTCGCGCTTGCCAGGCAGGCGCTGGGCCACTGAGCTAAATTCCCAGCCCCCTTGTTTTTGTTTTTTTTTTTAGTAAGTAAAGGGTCTGTCACAGAGCAAGGGATCAAAAAGTGATCACCATCCACACACTAACTTTGTTTTTTGTTTTTTTGTTTTTTATTTATTTGGTTTGGTTTTTGAGACAAGGTCTTGGTATGTAGTTCAAGGTGGTGTGGAACTCACTCTGTAG